AAGCGCCCTTCCCGCCATGTGAAAATTCTCTTATATTCCTACACAAACCCTAAACCACACTATACATTTGAATTTGGAACCAAAACGAAATCTCAAGATTCAGTCACGCCAAATCTCTAAATTTTCAGACACACTAATTCATTTTCGTTTTCATTTTCCAAACTCTCTTTCTCTTGTCTACCCATTATACATAAACATGGCACCAATCTCTCTTCTTCACCCAAAACTTCAAGCTCATCTTGTTCCATCTGTCTGTTCTCTCCCTCTCTTCCAAATTCACACCACAGAAGGAACAAGATGGAGACTCGTGCCGCCTCAAAGAGAAAGGCAAATGCAATGGTTTTGGTCCAAAAACAACATCCCAAAAGGCATAGGGTTGCTTTGGCTGAAGAATCCCAATCTTATCGTTCCAGGAACTCAAAATCCTTTGAAAGAGAAATCGCGAAATGTGAAGAATCCCAATGCCAAGAAGCCATCTCCCACAACCAATCACTCTTCTTCCCCTCACATTGATGAATCCCTTGTTTCCGATGTCTATGAGTATCTTCATGAGATGGAGGTAATTTTGATTTCTTCACATTATCAAAACTCTTACTTTTGTCCTTGAGAATTTTATGTATCTCAGTTTTAAATTTGATATTTTTTCTCAGATGCAGAAAAAGAGGAGACCAATGGTTGACTACATTGAGAAAGTTCAGAAGCTAGTTACACCAACCATGAGAGCAATTTTGGTGGATTGGTTAGTAGAAGTGGGTGAGGAGTACAAGCTTCTCCCAGACACTCTTCATCTCTCTGTTTCATACATTGATAGGTTTTTGTCTATTTATCCTGTGACTAAATCGAAGCTTCAGTTGCTTGGTGTTTCCTCCATGCTCATTTCATCGTAAGGATATCATTTTTTTTTATTTTTTAATATTTGTTCTCTTAAGCTGCTTAAAAATTACATTGTGTCTTTTTTTAATATGTAGAAAATATGAGGAAATGGATCCACCTTGTGTGAGTGATTTTTGCAGTATTACTGATTACACATATGACAAGGCAGAGGTAAAGATGCAGTGCTATTTTTGGGAGTATCAAATTGCTTTCTTAGTGAATTGTCTTTTTTTTTAACTCTTTGGTTTTCATGGCTAATGATTATATATAATATCTATGTATATATAGGTTGTTAAGATGGAAGCTGACATACTGAAGTCACTAAACTTTGAAATGGAAAGTCCTACTGTGAACACCTTTCTCAGGTATGGGCCTAATATTGTGAATATGAATTTTCACCTCTTTTGACATGAAATTAATTGAGTGTTGTTATTATTTAGGAGGTTTGCCGATGTTGTTTCTGACAATAAAATGGTAAGTTAAACTGTTCCACCTATTCTTGGTCATGGTCTTAAAAGCTTCATTGAGCTTCACCTATTCTTATTCATTGTCTTAAAAGAGCTTCATTGTGTTGTTTATTAATTGCTTTTCTTTTATTTGTTATTTCAGACTCCAAATTCACATATTGAATTTTTGGGCCGTTATCTGGCTGAATTAAGCTTGTTGGACTATGATTGTTTGAGATTTTTGCCTTCTGTTGTGGCAGCATCAGCTGTATTTCTTTCCAGGTTTATTATCTCGCCTGAAGTGCATCCATGGGTTAGTATTTTCATGTTATGAATAGTTGTAAGTTGATTTTTGAAATAGTTGGAACTGTTAGCAATTGTTCAAGATACTCATAATTGAGAAACTATTGCAGACTCCTTCTTTGAATGAATGTGCGGGTTACAAACCAGCTGAGTTGAAAGAATGTGTCCGAACCTTGCATGATCTGTACTTGTTACGAAAGGCAGCATCCTTGAAAGCTGTCCGGGATAAGTACAAGCAACAAAAGGTGATTATTTTTGTATTTGTTTAGTTATTAAGTACCTATATTCCCCTTATAACAAATGGAGTGATCCGAAATCTTTTATTGAAACAGTTCAAATGTGTTGCGAACCTGCCTTCTCCTCATTATGTACCAAATTGTTACTTTGAAGACCAGTGATGCAGCAAATTTTGTGATGAATATATCTCCGTTGCTATCTCTTAAATCATGTTTGATAAAGTACATGTCAATAGTGTGGTTGGTTTGATCATTGTTTGAACAGATTTGGTGGGGTAGTTAAGATATCAATGTTCAATTGTCTTTTCTGTTGAACAATCATGGAGAAGACCTTTAAAGATGCATACGGCTCAATTAACATCTTAGATTGTACAGCTTCTTGGTCATCATTGAGGCCCTGAAGGAGACACAGCACTCAATCATGATGGTTACTGTTAAATAATTATGAGAGTCTTTCAATGACATGTATTGGGAGAACTATGGTGTAGGATGAGGTGTGAAAATTGCATAGTTCATTGCATAGAATTTTATATGAACAAAATCACCTTGTGAAAAATAGTCCTTGAGATCTTGCTGATGTCTTTGGCAGAGTCCAAGTGATGGTTGCAATCTTGGGAGAGTCTTTGTGCTTAACTGATAAAAAACGAGGGTTTTATTGTGTTTCTAGACAGCAAACCAGAGGTGTTGATGCTGGGATTTAGGGATGTTGTTTCTGGTTTGTTGGAAATGCCCTATTCTTTAGGGACATATTTGTTTTTTATCATTCATTTTTGTTACTATTAACATTTATTTATCTAACAGACTCTAATAAAAGAAAAGTGTCATTCATTCTAGTTCTGTGTTCTTTTTTCTTAAGTTAATATTTGTTTGTGTGATTATTAAATGGGGATTGAGAAGTTGAAAAAATAAATAATAAATAGTTTTAGGTTTAATATTAAGTTTTAAATATAATTAATGTTTGAAAAATAATTTATAAATTTCGAAAGTTTACATATATAAAAGTATAAAAAGTAAACTTTGTAAAGGTAACAAAAATAAAATGGAAAGATGTAAAAGCAATAAAAATCTTCTCTTTTATTTTCTTATCTTTCTATTATTATTCTTCTATTTTTATGATATTTTTTGTTTTTTTATGAAGGGTTAAACATTAGGGTAATTTCCTAATGAAATTTTGAAGTTATATGAACAAAATTGTTTTTTTAAAATTTTTATTGTGTTTTATTTTTATTTGTTTTTTATTTTATAATGAAGTAAAATTATTGATTTTTATATTGTAACAAGTTAGTAAAATGTTAAATTTATATAACAATCATGAGTCAAGAGATTTTTAATTTTAATTGAAAAATTAATTTGATTAAAGTTATAAATTTTCATGTAATTAGATGAAATTTTGCTAATTATTAATAATTTATTTTAATTAAAGATGAAAACTTTAACATTAATTAATTAATTGGATAATTAATTTTTTACTTAATATAAATATAAAAAGTAAATGAATAAACATAATTATAGATGTTAATATTTAATTGAGAATTTATTTTAGTTAAATTTATTACAAAATAATAATAAAAAATTATTTTTTTTAATTGAAAAATTATTTTGGTTAATCTAAAGAATGTCAACATATTAATTGAAGTTTATATTGATTAATTTTAAAATTTAAAACAATCAATTTAGTAATAATCCTTTTAGAAAATCAATTACAAATCTCATTTTAAAAAAGTAGTAAAATTAATCTCTTTTTTTTATTGTTTTAATTCATTTTTATTTTTTTTCAATTTTGTTTCTTTTTTTTCATTTAATTTTTTATTTGACTAACTCTTTATATAGATTTTATAATAATTAATTTGATAGAAATAAATTTTTGTTAGGTGGGAGTTTAATTTATCTTATCCATTTCGATCTTTTTTATTATTTTTCTTAATGATACATGAGTTGTTACAAGTAATACTTATTTGAAAGGTTCAAACAACAGTTAATAGTTTGGTATGAGAGCCTTTACTTGGCTTAAAACATCAAAGCAAGTCGTTGAATTCTTGCAGTGGAATAGAAGATTACCACATAAGGTAGTTTTGATGGCCAACGTGACCATTAGAGCATGCTAATGGAAGACTTATAAGGAACATTAGGAACTATGTTAGTGAAACTGTACAAATGGAAAAGTAGAAGAAAATTGATGAGATGAAGTTGACAGGTCTAAAAGTGAATTATCTCTACCTAGATTGATCTAACCTTTCTGCACACCATATCAAGAAAAATGTTTTTAAAGAAATGAGATACTAGAAGTTTGAAAGAAATGCATGACTTAAGTCTCAGTTTCAATTTCAAGCTGTAATGGTTCCTGTACGAAACAACAACACATTATCTAAGTAATATTTTGCACTGTGAATGAGACAGAGAGAATACACTGGAGAAGGGAATTTGTTATAACCTACACAATTTCACCAATGTGGTTCTATATTCCGAAAACATGCAAAAACTTTACAAATGTGGCCTGCTCTTTCCAACAGAATCGTGCTCATCATCAAATTTTCCCAAATCACCATTTAAATGTCCTTTTGATGCTATTTTCTAGACATTTTTAACCATAATTTGATTAAAGATGTATGGTTCCATCATTTAGCTTGTGTTTGGATTAGGTGATAGATTTGGGGGAGTGGAAAAGAAAGGAAAAAGGGAAAAAGAATGAAAAGTGAGATAGTTTGGATTTAGTTTGTGTTTGTTTTTCATGATTTACTGCTATTGAAGATGGAGGAGCTAGTGTAGCCAATGTTTGCTTCAAGTGATTTGAACCAAAGATGAACAATTTCAATAGGATCTAAGAGAAAATATACCTAATGTACTTAGGTTATTATCTAGTGAATTGGTGAAAATAATATACCATATTGATATTCAGAGAAAATAAAACAAGTATCAACAACTTTTGACACTATCTAGAAAAATTAAACCATTAAGAATTTTTTTTTCCACTGTAAACTTGATGAGGATTAGTAGCCTCGTTATTTAGGGGAAGCTGATGTTCGAAAAGAATAAAATCTAACATCAGATTTTGGTTTTAAATGATACATCATTCATTTATATGAACTAAATGTTTGATATTAATAAACCATGAACAAACAATATTAAAAATTAAGACACAATATTCAAACTTTACCCTTTATATATTAGTTATCATATTCATCTCTACCACTCATTACACTTAAATTCGTAAGACTAAACCTAGATATAATCCCTGATAATACTTACAACACTAATCTAGTTCTGATTATCATGGTCATTGGCGGTACAAAAAGATCATTACATCAGTTATTGGGTAATCAACTTCAGCCTCCAAGAACCATACAATCTAAGATCCCTGCAATAATGAAATTGTTTGTTAAAGGTAAGACAAAACTTGAATAGAGTTCAGCATTTCCATTCAATCAAATTTAAAAGATCCAAAGAAATGTACCTATCAAAATAGGTTAATTGCTAAATGCAACTTTGGGAGAGATTCTACATTAATAGCCGTAAGAGTGCAATTCAAAAAGAGGTTTATGTTCAAAATCATTATTTGTCAAGGAATTGTCACTGCATCATCAGTCTTCAAAGTAATGACTTGGTACATGTGGAGGAGATGGCAGGTTTGCCACACACTTGAACTGTTCGAGCAGAAGATTTTTGGTCACTCAATTTGTCATAAAAAGAATTGAAGTATTTTTATAACAAAAGAAATGCAAAAGCTTTACCTTGCACTGTTTATATTTATCCCTAACAGATCGGAATGATGCTGCCTCTCTTGAAAAATATAAGTCATGCAAAGTGACAACACAGACTTTCAACTCAAATGGTTTGTAACCGGACCATTCACCCAGGGAAGAACTCTGCAATAGGTTGTGAAGTTTAAGTTTATCTAAACAAGAGTAGTACTTTTCCTCCTTTAATGAGAAACATGAAGCACTATGCATAAGATAAATACTCACCCAAGGATGCACTTTGGGAGAGGTAATAAACCTGGCAAGAAATAAAGCAGATGCAGCTATAATGGAAGGCAAGAATCTTATACAACTATAATCCAACAAACTTAGCTCAGCAAGATAGAAGCTCAGGAACTCAATCTTCAAATTTGGTGTCTGACAATAAAAAAATAAAATAAAATTACAAAACAACACAATAAAGTTTTTAAGATAATTAAGAAGGAGAACAGCAGATCCCCTTACTTTTTGGTTCGCAGAAGCAACACTCAAAAATCTCCTGGGACAATAACCATACCCAATTAGTCAAATTAATTTCATCTACAGAAAGTTAGATATTCACATTTCGGTATAAAGTTCATACTTTAGAAAAGTGATTGCAGTAGGATTGCCAATTTCAAAGTTTAGAGACTCAAGTATTTCAGCTTCCATCTTTACAACCTATGTCATCACCAGAGTGAATGAAAAAAGAAGCAAATGACATATGTTAATAGGAGCAACAGACAAGTATAACATTTACCTCTTTCTTTTCAAATGTGTTATCGGTGATGCTGCAAAATTTGCGCACACTGGGTGGTTTAGTTTCCTCATACTTCCTGCAAATTTGAGAGGAATATAATAGTGAATCTACCATGTCTACATAATAGAATAATTGTAAAAATCTTAACAAAACTGAAAACCAGACGCTTACGAGGCAAGAAGCATGGAAGAAACACCTACTAACTGAAGCTTGGACTTTGTCACAGGACTAACTGATAGAAACCTATCTATTAATGACACACAAAGATGAAGAGTTTCAGAGAGAAGCTTATACTCCACAGCAACATCTACTAGCCAATCCACCAATATTTGTCTCATGTTTGCTGTAAGTACCAACTGAACTTTGTCCATATAGTTAACTATTGGTCTTTTCTTCTTCTGCATACCATAAACAGTGAGAAAAGTAAGCTCCAGACAATATATAAAAGAAAAAAAAAACAACAACCTTGAAATTTCTGAATCACCTCCATTTCACGAAGATATTCATCGATGTCAGATACATAATGTTGGTCTATCTGAGGAGAAGGTAGTTTCTTGATGTTGGGATTTTTCCAACATGAAACTTTCTGTTTGGCCAGATTTTGATTAATAAGGTTTGGTAGATTGGGAAGTTCACCCAATACAACCCTATGCATCTTGGGGTGTTGTTTTTCCACCACCACAACAGCTTCCTTTCTCTTTCTCTTTGCCCCAGCACGGGTTTCCATCTTCTTTCTTGTGTGTTGTTAATTTGAAACAGATTGTGAAAGGGCAAGAAATTGAAGAGGAAGGAATAAGCTAATGTTTTATCATGTTTGTGTATTGAGTAGAATAGACAAAGAGCGGTTTTTTGAAATAAAAATGAAAATTTCAGGAATTGGGTTTGGTTCCAAATGCACATGTTTTATCATTAGAGTTGAAAGATTTGTTTTCCTATGGGCGGGTAAGCGGGCGGGTAAGGGCGCGCCACTTTTCATTCACGGCGTCAAATCAATTATTCAAATATATTAATTAATTTATTCATTTCATGTGTAAATATATATTTATATATTAAAGTAATTAAATTGAAAGACTTTAATTTATTAATTATTTATTTATTATAATAAAAAGATGAACAAAATCATGTGAATAATAATATTATTAAAATAAAAAAATTTAAATGATGTTAACAAGAGTTGTTTCATTACTTTAATATAATTTAAACTCACACATATAATAGTAAAAACTATAATAGGGTCATTTAACTACTTTTAAATAATTGATGAGAAAAATTTACAAATACATTATTATTAATCCTACCACTTTAACAAAAACAGGTGAAGGAGAATATAATGCATTTTACTACTGGTTCAAACATTTAAATTTAATTTGTATTAAGAAATTACAAAAGTATATCAAATTGTATGTACAAGTGTGCACATGAAAAAAAGTGTAGTGTGTTACAAAATTGTCATGAGTAAAGAGTTTCTTTCTTGACACTTCAAAAATATGATTAGAGTGTACAAAATTTTTTATATATTGTATAAAAATAGATATGATTAACATGTAAATAAAAATATGCGTAAGGTTTGAAATATTTATAATGTTAAATATTTTTGTAATTACTAGTAAATGTTCATTGACAACTTTTGAATTAAAAGAATAATTGTTAAGAACAAAAACTAGAATTGGATCATTCTTTTTACTTAAAGAGGAAAAGTCAACTTTTGGTTTAAAAAACAGTAGAGGAACTCTCTAAACACATGTATAAATAATTAGAAAGTATTAAGAACCCACTTCAATTCATTTAATAATGTTTTACAGATCTTATATATGTATATATTTTGCATTACTTAAAAAAAATAGGTTAGTACTTCAAAAGACTAAAAATACGAGCATACATAAACTTTATTTCTATATATTTTCATTTTATTATTTTTATTATTATTAAAAAAAATAAAGTGAAGGATAATTTTTCTTTTAATTAGAATGTGATAAAAGATAAAATAAAATTACACAAATTTAATATATTTATAATAACATCGAATCGTGTATGTATTATAAAATCTCATTTATAATCTTTTTATATGTTTATAATAGTATTTCATTAATTTTTATCCATAATAATTATGAAATGATGATACACATATTTTATTTAGGATTAAATATGTTTTAGTCCCTTAACTATCAGATAATTTTAATTTTTATATTAGATATATATATAATACTATATATATATATATATATAGATATATATATATTTATTTGTGGGTTTGCTAACGCGGCATGTTTTTCAGTGGTATATTTACGATGTGTATGGATTTTAGTTAAACAAAAATACCCTTATATATCATGGATTCTAAGTTTTAAGGTTAAGGGTATTTTAATAATTTTCATTCTCAAAACTAAAAAAAAGAAAAAGAAACTCCAAACCCTTACTCACCTCTCTCTGGTTCCTCTCAACCATTTTTTTTCATCTCTCTTCACTCCACATTTCTCTCATCCTATGGTAGTTCCAATTGAAAAAAAATCAGAAACATTGACTCTTAAACAATGTTACAAAAAATGATTTATATGAGTTTTTATTTTATAATTTTGTCTTATCCAATTTTTACAAGCATAAAGGAATTGGTAATTTGACCTGTAAAAAATAAAAAATACTCGTTGTTAAACAATTTCTTATAAAAAATGATTTTATAATGAGTTTTCATTTTATAATTTTTGTCTTACTAATTTTCCACAAGCATAATGACATCAAAGGAATTGGTAATTAAGCCTGGGAAAAAATCAGAAACACTTTTGTTAAAACAATTTCTTACAAAAAATGATTATATTGAGTTTTTCATTTTATAATTTTTTGTCGTATATAATTTTATCTAATTTTCACACAAGTTAATGACATTCGAAGGAATTGGTAATGGCTCCTAGAAGGTTTTTTTTAGAGATGATTGATTCAACATATGCAGATGATGAAATTAGAGAGGTTAGTATAAAGATGATGAAATTGAAGAGATCTTGTGAATATGTCAATGACTCAACTCTTTACAAAGGCAAATTGTTTAACGTAAGTGTTTATGATTTTTTTAATTGGGCACTACAGTGGGATCCATAGCTCACAAAGGTTTGAATGGCACCACCCATATATTACATATATATATTTATAATGGTTGTTACACTTATGTCACCTCTTCATAGTGTATCACGACTAATGGTCCTCGGGCACTAATTTCCCCCCCCTCCCCCCCCCCCCCCCGTTATATATTACACAATTTATCTTTAAAACATCATATATTCAAAAGAAGTTACACGAGTCAGCAGTAAAAGAAGTTATGTGTTAAATAGAGTTCAAACCACCAGGAGGGTGTAAACGGCGACAGACGGTAAGAGTCTTACGGAAAAAAAGGTAAAATATAGTAGAAAATATAATATAGGGGTAGGAGTAGAGGTAGGGTAAATAACGTAAGGTAAAGTAAAAGAGGTCATGTGACGAGGTAGAGTATAGTTTAGAGGGGTCGAAGTATAAGAGGGTTAAAGTAAAGTTTAAGTTAGATACAACAGGGTTAGAGAACACCATATTAGACTTTATATGAAACAACAAGATAATACTAGACTAAGCCTAAAAGCCCATAATAGAGTAAGCAAATCCTAAATCTCACCCAATAAATCCTAAGACTCACCAAATTTTAATCCTATCCATATCTGAGCAGCATGAGTAAGATAGCGGGCAACATCACAAACACAACATTAACCGGCGATAGATGCTATAACAAGAGAACTTAGAACAACCACGATAGACTAACTCCACCAAACGATCGCGTGATGAGTAGCAAGAGTAACAATGTCGAGAGCTTGGAACCCTTATCGCGAGTCCACAAGAGAGAGGAGAAAGAACGTCGAGTTGATTGACATCAGAAACTTATAATCTCTGTTGTCTTTTTGGATTTGATGAAAAGTCACACGAACTCGCAAACTCGTTTGTTGAATCGCGAGTTAGTCGGTAGTAGTCACGACGACTAACGAGTTTGCTTCAAAAACAAGTTCAATACCAAGTTGAATCGATTACATGTAAACTCAAACAATTCTACAAGTTGAATCGCGAGTTGATAAGCATGAATCCAACATTTAATAAATAATACGTTGAATTATATTAAATACTCTTACCTCCAATGTAATCACATTCTCAATTGTAAAAATTGGTATTAAGTTTATCAAAAACATGTTCAAGAATTTAGTGTAAATGTATTTTGATTTTGAACAAGAAACAAAATGCTTTAATAATTGATAGTTTTATTGCTTGTTTAAACAATCTTCTTATAAATAAAAGGGTTAAATATGTTTTTAGTCCTTCAACTATCAAGCATTTTAGTTTTCATCTATCTTTCAAACTTTGGTATACTTTGATCATTGTCCTTGAGGAAACTATAATTTTTAGTTCTCCATGGCTAACGGTGTTAATTTTTTTCTTAGGTAACTAACGGTGTGTCCACATCATTTTTCTTTTTTCTAAAACGTGTCAGACCCTTATCACCTGTGAGGTAGACCCTTACACTTGAGGAAAATGTTATACCTTCAAACCAAGCTCTAACAGATCAGTTCCTGGGCTGTGGTCACCGGAGCCATCGGCGACATCGAAAAGGCCTTCTCTTGCTAGCTGGTAGAAGCGAGGGCTCAACCTCATCCTCGTTCAGCATAACCTTGCAGAAGCATGGAGCCGTTGCGCGAGAAATCAAGGCGAAGAACCAAACGCGCGCATGAAGGTGGTGGCGATGGACTTCGTGTGCAGGGATACTGATAGGAGGGAATCTTATCGCAATGTAGGTACAAGTTATGCAAGTTGGGTTTAGGGTAAGTTAGTAGAGGAATGATGAGGAAATGGAAGGATAGTTAATTAATGTTCGAATATTAATGATGTGAAGAAGGTACCCTGTACGTTGCAACGGAAGTGGTGTCAAAGGTGACTTTTATTAGAAAAGATTCAGTTTTTCTGATACCAACGACTGAAGCTTATGTAAGAGCTGCAATGGGTGAAAATTGGATATAAGTATAAGTATGAAGATAGGAAGCAGATGGGTGACACAGGAGAAAGCTAACAACTCACAATTCTTTTTCAAGACTCTGATTATTCCTTCCACCTAAAATAACATCCATAGTACTTATCTTCCCTAAAAGCTCCTTCACATTGTTCATACAAAATTCAGATGCCAAAGGGCATAAACGATAAGGAGCAAGAAACAATTACTTTGAGAAAAAAAGACAAAAAACGAACCTATGAAAAATGCAAGACCCACACAATACACATAGTTAGGAGAACATTGCAGGAAGCAAAAGAGAAAGCAGAGAAAAAAAAGTGGAAGGACCTGTTGAAGAGGAGAGAGACTCTGATTTGAGGACACGCACACAAACACCCTTCCATCTTCGAAACAAAAGCTTCAAATTTTCAGTTCAAGAAAAGGGGATTTATTTAAAATCTAAAAAGAAAGAGAATTACACAACAAAACTTGGGTGTGACAAGACAGAGAAAGAAGAAGGATCATTCATTTGGGAGTGTTGTTTTGAAGGATAAAGGTGAAGTTTTTTCATAGATCAGAGGTGATGTCTGTTCTTCTTCATCTGGGTCTGAAGAAGACGATGAGGGGTTCGACTCCTACCGAGAAAGGTGTATCACCCGAAAACTTTCACGTTGTGTATGTAAAATTGGTTTCAAGGTCAGCATTTTCCTCAGGTGATAAGGTTCTGCCCTCACAGGATGATAAGGGTCTGACACGTTTTAGAAAAAAGAAAAATAATGTGGCACACCGTTAGCCACCTAAGATAAAAATTAGGTATAATAACCTATTTTGTCCCTAGTTTTGCTGAATAATGGCAATTCAATCCCTCGTTTTAAAAG